AAGCTCTCGAGGTGCCACCTACACTAAGAACGAGGTCAAAAGAGATTTTCCAACGTGGTCCCTCCGATGCAAAGTTAATAATCAAATATATATGAGTATGTATGCAAGTGGTAAAAAAAGATAACCCCTCTCTTCATTATATTGAAGATGACCTTTTATACTTAGTCGTAAAGGAGCAGAATATTTCACGTAATATACTGTGAAGAGGCAACCTCTAACCGCCTCCAACAGTCTCCTCCTTGGTCACTTCTACACGTAGGCGATAAGGTGGATGGTCTATAACCGTCTATCTTGGGCCCTTCCTCACATGGGTAGACAGGTGGAAAATGTCATCCATCATTTTCTTTCACTTCGGACACCAAGGTGATGGTCATATGTCGGATGAAGATTGACCAATGATATACTCCCGATCAATTTTTAAAAATATTCAAATTTTTTTTTACAAGTTCTTTAAAACCTATACAAGATTACACTTAGATTGACCCATCCTCATAGCCTCACGACTTATAAAAAAAATTAACTAAATCTACAGTACTTAGTACGAGAGTGGACAAGCAATCGGTGAATTCGTGCACTCACCATGGCAAAACATCATGCTGAGTCTACCAAGGCTACGAAGTGGGGAGCAGCCACTCATACGACCACAATGGAGGAGAGTATGATGTAGCCTTGACGGCAAACTACAGTAGTCAAAAAGGTGATCCCACACATTGGCAATTCTCTTCACTCGAAGGAAGTGCAACCCGAATCACCAGCACCGGAAAGACAAAAAAGCCATTAAGGGAGGGTTATAGAAGCTGAAGCACACCTAAATCTTCAAGCCAACTTGCTTAAGGTAGAGAACGCACAATTTTGGATCGATCAAATGGAACTTCGGCTCGATCGACTGACTGACTGGAATACTAAGGAGTCAATGCAACACTTCAAAGATAAATTGTGATAGATCTCATGATAAGAATTACTATGCTCATAAGGATTCTACATGAGGGCGTGCAGAACTCTCTAATACTTGATGAAGTAGTCCAAACTTAGCAGCACTGAAGATGTGATTGTCAAAGAATACCAACATATGTCATCAATATATTAAATGAGGGAGAATATTATCCATGTCTATCACGTGTCCATAACACCTTTAACAGAATCAACGTTCTTCAATTTTGATATATTGTACTTTTTGTTTTGCATGTTTTTTTTTTTTTGTTAGTTTTGGTAAACTGTATAAGATTACAAAGTTGTTTTCGAGACAGTTGCTCAAATGCTCAATTGTTTTCGAGATAGGATTTTAAGTAGTGTCGGTGATTTAGTTTTAAACTTTTGAGCTTATACGTAAATCATAAGCTTTTTCCGAGCTTATACGTAAATCATATATAAGCTTGCTAAGCGACCTAACATCCGATTAAACAGTCGATATGGATATGAGACTTGAAACTATCTTTTTGACATTCAAAGTCTTATTCTTTTTGCCTTCGAAGTATTTATTGAATTGCTTAAGTCTTATGCTTTTGTTTGAAACATTGAGATTTATCCACAATTTGCTTTTGAAACTAATCAATTTTTATCGTTTTTTTGAGAAAAATTAAAAAAAATTTTACAAGAGAGCTCCAAGTCTGTAACAATAGGCTCTAAAATACCTCCTTTCTTCTTTCTCCTCTTGCTCTTTCTTCGTTCTCTTCTTTATTCTCCTTACTCTTCATTTTTCCTTCCCTCGTCTCCTACCATAAATAATATGGTTGCTACACTACAGTATCCTTCCTCCCCTCCTCACCATGATGCTTACTTTCCCTCATAAAAGCTCTTTGATTTCATGCTTAGAATCTAAGATGTCTTAAGATGAATGTCTTGCATGTTCACTCTTATACGTTTACGATAATCCCACTGGAAAAATAAATGTCATATCACACCACTCACACATATGTGTAGGAAAATACTACCATTGCTACATACCAATGGATCAAAAACCAACATCAACAGCAAAATAAGCACTCGAGTTCAGCAGGTAGCATGTAGCTGGATGAGGTTTGGAACATGCAATTCCGACAGACAAAAACTATGAATGTGATAATTTATATCTATATCAATTTCCTAGCACATAAAACTGATTAGGAGGTATCAGAGGATGAGAAAAGTTGCCTGCAAAATGCACTCTCAGAAAATGGATATTAAAAGAAAACCTCCTCTCTCTTTGACAGTGTACCGTATGCTTTTGTGAATGAAATGCTGTTGCAGCCAGAGTTTCCTGACAAATTGAGAGAATCTGGAATAATGAGATGTGTTAGCACTTGCATCCAAATTAAGTTTATAATTCTCTCTAACGATTACAGCTTGCTATTTTGAAAGAATTTGGGTGCCTCTGATCTCTTCCAGAATTCTTGGATTATAGCAGAAGTATCATCTTGGAGTGAGAGGCTTTTGGATTATTCCGGGAGGCTGCAATTGATTAGAACTTCTCTTTTTGCTTCCCAAGTGTTCCAGATGCAAATTTTGATGGCACAAAAGAGGTTCTCACTGAAGAATATATCCGTAGTAGGTTCCAATGGGGAGGCAGTGGCTGCAACAAAAACAAAAGCCTTGTTGATCGGAAGAATGTCTGCAAAGAACTAAACTGCTGTTAAGAAAATTTTATGACAAGTTCTATTAAAATCTCAAACCATGCGGGCAAGATGGAGGCATATGATGAAACTTCAAAATCAGAGTACATGGAGCATTGTTTGATTGTATCTGGATGTGGTGCAAAGTTCTTGATAAGCTTAACACAAAATCGTCCTTCTATTTCCATCTTTTTTCTCTTAAACACATGAAACTGTTGATCTTGTTTTTAGATTTGTAGCTGGAACTCCTACAAAAGGACAAAGAAGAGAAATGTCGCTGAAATTATCACCAGATACTGGATCTCCTACTCGTATGAATCTTTCTTCGTGTCAACTGATACTCGATGCTTCAGCAATTATTCATTATCTCTAGAGATAACACACCCTACATCCAAGATAACTTTTCACTCCCATTTTAGCAAATAAAAATAGAATAGGCAATTAAGTTCAATGAGTTAGACCTCCTTTAACTTCAGGGGATGGATGTTGTTACCACTGGGAGCACCTTGAGATAAATCATTATTCTTACTTAATGATCATAACAAAACATTAAGAAGGAAGTTTCATGATCCAAGAAATACAGCTTGGAACAAACAAAGAAAACTGCAGTTACATGAACATCACTTCACATGCAAGACCTCCATATTTCGCTACAGATATTTTACATCATATGTCTAGATCTAAGAATACCACTCTGTAAGGAAACAGGACTGGCATTTTGATATAGATATACATCAGTTATGAATGTGCACTACAAGTTTTCCTAATGCTGATTGAATCTTAAATATGTTTATCCATGTCAAGGTACTTGTTATCTGCACCATGGAACCCATTGCAGGAATTGGATATGGGGATTCCATCAGCATCAACAACGAAACACATGACTCTTCCATCTATGACCCTTCAATCCACCATGAATCATATGGTTCTTAGTGATCATATGGTTCTTAGTGATTCCAGATTTATTTGGAACAAAAAAAGTCATGAACTCTCATTCATGTGCATCTTGATAAAAGGAGGTAAACCCAAGTTTGAGAAGGGTCACTACACCATGATAGAGCAAACCTATCAGTTCAAGCAATATAGGGTAAATAATGAGCTATCCTATTATCATCCCAAGGGATATAACCAAAGATGTAGATTTACGTTTCACCCTACATACAGGACGCTATGTACCGATCCAATAGGTTATTGGGTTGTGGAGCATCCTATTTTGGATGGTTCAGCCTATTCTTTTTTCTTCATTAAAACAAATGTTTTTCTTTTAAATAACCCATCTCCTAGGGCTCACGACTCACAAGCATTTTTCTCCTTCATTCTTTGCTCGACCACTGCCTATGATACATCTCCTCTTCCTCCTCCTTTCTTCCTCCTCCTTTATTCTTCCTCCCTCCTCCTCCTTTCTCCCCCTCCCCCAGCAAAATACCAACACACAGTGCGCACCCTTATCGATTCGACCATGGACCAGCACAGGTCCAGTACCCAAGATTGAAAACCTTGAATATAACACATTTGACAATTTTAACGCTAAAGCTAAATCACTATCGTCTTTTTTCTTTTGGACTAGACAGAGGCTGAACCATGATAAATTTCTTGCCAATATAAGTGTCTGATCACCCAATGACTATCTTGTTATAAAACTTTAATAGTGAAAACAAATTCCTCTCATAACGGGAAACATTCAACTAGTTTCTAATATAAAATCATTGTATTACTAGAATGATCTGGACAAGTGCCCTCCTCCAAAAGTACTCTAACTTTCGAAAAAAAGGGAAATACTACGAAAATTCCCAAAATCAACTTTGGTTGTGTACACATTCATATTTCCTAATTCCAATATGGAACTAAACTTGCTTGGATTCCTATCTAATTATCCTCGGTGTTTCTATCACTCTCTTTGTGCCAAATAGTCCATTAGCTCTTGCACTGGTCTTCACAACACATAAATCCAGATGAAGGGACACATAAAGATGCTCTAATGTCACATTGCAATGACTTGCACTAAAAATCTTCTCCATCCACCTTCAGAAAAGCTATCCTGACTTTTACAAATTTGATCACATAGGTTACATATCATTGCAAACTCCAGACATATATATAGAAAGTAGAATCAGATATTACTTTAGTTTTGACAAATATTAGTCCATGTTCCTGTTATATTATTTCTCACATTAAGCTAATAATGATTTGAAACCCATAAACTTGATTTAGCTTGTAACTCAATTGAACAAATCTCAAAATTTCAGACTTGTTCAAAGATTAGAAATATGATAATATAATACATGCTTTCTAGACCAAGAAAATGATCAGCTGAAAGAACATTTATTGCCAGCATGATACACTTTGTGATAAGAACAAAGAACACCAAGGCACATGAACTGTTCAAAAAGAAAAATCATAACTACATGCTTTATGAACCGAACAAATGATTGACTGGAAGCACATTTATTGCATCTGAATAATAACATATGCAGATTATACCCCTATTTTATGAGTACATAAGAAAAAAGAACATAAATCATAAAAACTCAAAGAGAATAACAATCCAGACCTTGTTACGGTAGCGGTAAGAGTGATCTCATTAGAGACCATTGAAACCTTACATGTGATGGGCATGCTGGCAAGCATAAGGTTATTAAAACCTATCATTACAGAACTTACTGGAATGAGTCTTGGAAGGTCAAATGAGAAGAATTGGAACCCATCTCACATTTGGTATGGTGACCTGAGATGCTGTCCTCCCTTGGGTGAATCCCTTTTTGTTCTATGATTGATCAAGCAAATACAAGCTGAAAGAAAAGGTGAGATGTAGACATCAGGGTGGATGCACTGGGAATCCATGTCGCCTTACAGTTGGATTCACACCCATTTCTTGAAGCTACCAAGCTCTGAACCTTCCGAAACCGCCATTCCAATGCCTGCCCTCCCGTCCTTCCCTATGCCTGTGTAGTACAGCCTCCATTCTTCTCCCCCTCCTTCCATAATTTGGAGCAGACATGGAGCACCGACCCCTCTGCTATCCCATCCGTCCTCATCAGTGGATGGCTCAAGAATCACCTCATCACCCCATCGCCGCCAGTTCTTCAATCCGTCTGAAGACAGCGCCAAGCCGATACGTGTAGCCCCCTCCACAGAGACACCTTCGTAAGCCATTAGGTACGAGCCGTCTCTCTGGTTCCTCACGACGTGAGCATTCCTGGCGCCGGCCTCGTCGAAAGAGCCGGCGGGTCCGCGTCCCAGGACCTCCCCTAGCTTCACCCACCGGATCCCGTCCCCGGACCTGGCGATGCCGACCGCGTGATGCCCGTTCCTCTGGTCGAACGAGTGGTAATACATCCTCAGATCGCCTCGGCCATGGTACACGACCTTCGGTGATGCTGCAAACAGGGCGTCCCACTCGCCGGCAGAGCCGGCGTCGAAGAGGGCGCCGCTGTGGTGCTCCCCTTCGATCCTCGCCCAGTGTCGGCCGTCTTGGCTGATAGCTAGGCCCGGCAGCGACACGAAACGAGGGCGACATTGGTCGCCTGCATCCTCACCGGGGATCTCCAGCTTCTCCTGGCTAGAGCCAGTATAGTAAAGCCAGTAGACGGCGCCGGGCGCTGTGAGCTTGTCGCTGGACATGATAAGCACATCCGATGGGCTCACGCTCGCCGTGTCGAACGCCCACCAGTCGGAGCTGCGGCGCATGACCTGGCCAACGTCGTCGCTAGTTGTGACAGGGCCAGATCCTCTCTCCCAGTGGATCCCGTTCCCGGAGACCGCCACGCCGATGGAGTCGCCTTCGTCGCCTCTGCCATGGTACCACATGAGCCACCGCTCCTCGTCGTCCCGGACGTACCGCTTGACGACCGGGGAGCCAACCTCGTGGCTGTCCCAGGAAGGGGCGGGGCCAACGTCGAACACCAAGCCGTGGCAGGAGGTCGAGGAAGGAAGCGGCGAGGAGCGGGCAGCGGAAATGGGCTGTGATTGTTGTCGGTGTCCCTCCGCGAACGAGGAGCGGCGGCTCGATGTGTAGCTCTTGGAGAAGGAAGGAGAGGGGAGAAGGAATGGAGGCGATGCGAAGAGGAGCGATGTGGTCGGCATGTAGGATTTGTGGAAGCAAGCAGGTAGCATCATCATTCGACGAGACTCACTTGGTTGGAGGAAGGACATGGGAGGAAGAAGCGAGATGATTCATTGATGGGCCGGCCCATGATAAATGGGCCTACAAAGGCCTCTTGGGATAAGATTCCAAAAACTTGATTCCAAAAAATGTGCGTATATTATTATATTAATATTTAAATTTAATAATATTATATTTATCTATTGATATATATCTTATGAAACATTAGTTAATTAGTGATGCATTTATCCACCTAAGAAGGATTGAAATCTCATTTGATATATTTTTATATAAATTTATCTAAATTAATTATCAAAGGTTTTAGGATCTCATCTTTTAAAAAAATATTATCCATCTAAATATAAATTCATATATTCTATTGCAAAATAAAAGTTTGAATTTCCATCAATTTGTTGTCGTTTGATTATATTGAAGTACTAATAAGGGTTAATATCCTCTAACAACATTTTGTTGGATACTATAAAGGTAAGAATATTAGGAGCATTTTATTTGTTTCATAGTCTGGAAATATCCTTCATATATCTCATATTACAGCAAATAATTTTCCCAATCGCTTTAATAATTTCTTTTACAGAAAGAAATGTTGATATATCTATTGCAAACCAAAAGCAGGCATAGGAGCTAAAGAACAAGACAACTGGTTTTATTATTGGAAACAAAGCTGAGAAGGTTGACGACCAATGCCGTACTCGAGAGCAGACTCACTCACAGGGCAGGCACTGAATTCGAAGACACCAGAAAACAAAGTAAAGAGAAAGCTACAGACTTCTCTCCCACACATCTTTATTGTGAATCCACTACGACCTCAATCCAAGCTTGCCGTCGGCCAACCCCGTCATCTCTATTCATTACAGCAGCGGTAGAGGACGAACTTCTCCATGGGGCGCTTGCACTCCGCGCACACCACCTGCTCCGTGATCCTGCCCGTGTCTCCGGGAAGGATGAGGCGGGTGCAGTGCTCCGGGGTGTGGAACGGCTGCAGCGCGTTCGTCAGGGCCGGGATGAATCCCTCCTCCTCCACCCTCACCTTCCATTTGTCGAACGTCTCGAGGCAGTTGTTGATCATCTTCCCCTGCGCCTTCACCATCTCCACCGAACCCCGGCTGACCACCGCCCACCCGTCGTCGCTGCCGTCGAAGCTCAGCATCGTCAGCACCTCCTGCACGATGGGGTCGTTCTCGACGGTCTTGCCGTGGTGCATCTTGGAGTACCACATGCTCTCCAGCCGCGTCCAGAAGAACCACATCATCACCGGGTCCTGCCAGTAGCCGCTCAGCTTCTCGTTGGCGATCACCGTCACGGCTTTCTTCACGCGGTCCCTCGGGCTGCTCTTCCCCACGTACACCATCTCCAAGGGGATCCTGGCTTCCTGCGACGCGCGCCTCATCAACGTGGTAAACCTCCGTATCCACTCGATGTCCTCTCCTCCATACAGGCAGACATGGCGGCCTTCTTTCACCTTTCGGATCATATCAGAGAAGAAGAAGAACAAGAATCATTTGCAAGCTTAGACAAATAATCCATGAACGCACAATGCTGATTCATACCCATCCAAGCATCACAGGATCGATTTCGTCGATCAGGAACTCGAGCCGCCACGTCTCATCCTTCCAGAGCGCCTCCTCCCTGTTGCTGGTGAAGGGGAAGGCAAGGCTTCCCCAAATCCACATCATGTGGAGGGCATTAGGGCAAACGACCTTCCCCTGAGGGTCCAACACCACCAGCATTGGCCTCTTGTCGAAGTGCCACACGTCCCGTATATACTTGATCACTGGTGGCTCCAGCAACGAGGGGTGGTGCAGCGAGTACCACGGCATCATGGAAGCCAAGCGGTTGAAGGTCTCCTCTTTGGCACCTCCCCACGGAACGTGCCTGTCGATGATGGGCAGCCAGACGATCTCGTAGTGCCGTTCGATCTTCCCTTGGTGCGTGTCACTGTATATCTGTATCAGAACAAAGAGCTCCTCCTGGGAGATGTCGAGGTCGGAGATGAAAAGCATCACAATCTTCCTCCTCAGTACGTCGACGCTAACTCTTCTCTTGGTAGTCCCGTCTACCAGCGGTAGATCATCCTTGGAGTACATGAGTGCCTTGAGGATCTTCATGTTATCGATGTGCACAGTCTGGAAGAGATGCACCAGCGTCTGGTATGCTTCAATGTTCTTCTTCTCACCTGAATCAAGAAAGATGAGTGGACTAATAACTGGTTTCAAACCATGACTAAAGCATAAATTTGTATTCGCTCTGACCAATGTGTCGGTAGCACAGTTCAAGTTGCTTGGTGAGGTGATCATGGATGTTGCTGAGTTTGTGAGCCAGACTTGAGAGCTCCCATGCTTCGCTGGTGGAGCTGACATGCCTGCGACCAGAGAAGAAACGTTTATGGCTTCGAGCATCAAGTAGTCTTTTGGGAACCAAGGGATTGAGCTTACTCATGACCCAGGCCTATGAGGGAAATGATCTGAGAAGCACAAGCTACGACACTTCTGATGGTCCAGTAGACGGCAGTGGGGATGTGCGCCAAGGCCATGGCCATGTCAGGGGCGTCGGGCGAGATGTACTCAGAAGGCAGCTCCTTGAACTGGACGATGCACTTGGTGACATCCACCATTGCCTTGATGAGGTTGTTGAGGGCATCGAACCGAGGCTTGAGGGCCTCGGTGTGCTCGAGAATGTCAGGCAGCTGCTTGAGGAGCGCCACCGACTTCGCCAGAGGATTGACTGTGTGGAGCTGGGCAGTCAGCCAGAACTCCCCGTAGCTCACAGCAAACGCCGCCAGTGCTATCACTACTTTTGCATCCCAAGAGTAGTTTGATAGTGAGTTGAACAGGGATAACGTTGTCGCGTGCCCGTCGCCTCCGCCGGAGCACTTGCAGGTCAACTGTAGTGGCCCGAAAGAACGAAAAGAAGTCTCAAGAATTAACCTTGGAGGCTTAAATAAGAGTGATAAGTGTACAGATGCTGCTGCATTACCTCGCAAGATATCTTGTGGATGGTGTAGGCCAGGGCTTCAAGCATTCCCACAACTTCAAGATGATGCGCTTTGTCTTCCACAAGCTCCAGATGAGCTTGCGGCGTCTGTCCAATTACCAGATCAAAGCAAAACGCAAGATTAGATCTACATTCCAACGTCAAATACTTGTTCTACGACTTGCAAGAAACAAGCTAGAGTCAGCTTATGTGATCATACCACGATGACAGTAGGGGTAGCCCGCTGCAGTATGTCCTCCACGAGTTTCAACAGCGGCATGGTATCGATGTCACGGCCGTCGGGGGAGTGCGTTGCAAGGATTTGCTTCACTACCACGCTGTCGTCCGACTTCGCGTAGAGGTGGCGATCTCCCTTGATCAGATGCATCTTAGTCGCCGCCGCCGCTGCTGTCGACGCCATTTCCGCAACAATGGCAAACGAAAGGGCTAAACCTGCAGTGGCTGTGCAGTGCAGGTGCTCGGAGGCCATGGTCTTTATATAGCCAATTGCAGAAGAGGTAGAACAAGGAACACAGGGAATAAAGATGGAAGCGGAACAACAGTACTTTGCTTGCCAAAGCTCAAGTGAACCGAACCTTTGCTTCATAACTGGGGTTCTTCTTTTGCCCGATACGTAGTGTCATGGTAGAGTTCAAGCATGCATGGCTTTCCTCTTTACCACGGATGTCCTCTAAAAGAACAACCCACGTAATTTGCATCGACTTCTCATCCAGCGGAGCAAAGACAAATGCAGAGGCATCAATAAAGTAGAAGAAAATTCTTTTCTTATGGGTATAATAAAGGGGAAGGATGCATGCACTTTACGTCCTTTAGGGATATGTATCTTCCTTTCCATGGTTGATGTTTACTAATAGAAAGGATTGGATTTAGACAGCTATCAGCCATTACCATTGCGTATCATTATTGGAAGATGATAAAGCAATCTTTACGGAGGAGTCTTGTCAGGGCTCGACGTCAAGAACAGCACGTATCTCAATGCAAGATGGATGTCCTCCATCTGTCTTCCTATTCATAATTAATCATGAATGAACCGAACCATATTTGAATTGGATCGAACCATTTCTGGTCCGATAACGAACCAGATGATACCACTAGAATGGAGTCAATTCTTCGTCAGATCGATAAATGATATGTATAAACTAGTAATTGAAATCTTGATTGATATTAATTGGCTTGACTATACCACTTGATTCAAATACGATCTAGACTTGAAACAGACCAACTTAAGTTCAATCATGGTTGAATGATCTAATCAGGGCAAATATGAGGACATTGTGGCATATGGTCAGTAGTAACACTAAAAATTGTATGTAATCGTACTCCTCGGTAAATTTTTTATAATAAATATATATTCAAAACTCAATACCATAATAAATTTTATATGCTTTTCAAAACCATTAAAAAAATCACCTTTAAATTTTACTTATTCTCACTATATTTGTATTAATTGTACTAACAAATAAATAGCTTCTATTGATGCTATTACAAGAATAAAACCAAATTGATCTCAAATATATTTTATTTCACATCTTGTTCTACCTTTTTTATTCATTTTCAAAGTTTCATTGTGTGAATAATTATTTTAAGTCTTTATATAATTATAATATTTTTATATTCATCTTATTCTTATAAATTATTATTTATAAATCATAGGTCAACTTTCTCATCCTCAAAATCTTGTTAAACGAATTATCGCTGGATTTTTTAGACTCTGTTAAATGTCAATAATACTATCTGGTCCATATTCTTACCTCTTTTCATATTTTACAATATTTGTTACATCATTTGTTTTGTATTTATAAATAAAATTATGATTATTAAATCCATCACTGTTATATATTTATGTTACTTATAAAATATTTGACAATTTTCTTTTAAAAACCTAAATTTTTATTTTTTTTCCACATAACATCACTTTTTGTTTTATTTGTATGGAGCATCGCTTATTTTTTTAAAATATAAGATTATTTCTCCATGGTCACCTTCATTATCTTCCAAGAATCACCCCCATAGTGATGTTATTATTGCAATGACTCATAGTGATAACTCTCCTACGATAATAATGACTTATAAGACATTTCTCCCTTAACTTTCTCGATGGAGATAGATAGTAGGAAGGAGATAAGCAAAACACAACATGATGAGATGGAGGTGATCATGTGAGCCGAAAATAGCCACGACGAGATGGAGAGGTAACATTATTTTTTAGAAAAAAAGCATGGAAATAAAACAAAAAAAGGTACTATTTGAAAAAAAAAAATAAAAACCTAATTTTTTTTAAAAAAATTATCCTAAAATATTCATGATTTTTTAAATAATTTTATTTTAAATCATTAATCGGCTTCTTTTATCTTCATCCTTAATGCATTTGGCAACTTCTAAAATCCTTAGATGATTTTACAACAGTTTAAGATGATATCTACAACATTTGTTCTTTATTTACACATTAAATCGATCTGTCGAAGATGCTAAAACTCATTGGATCGTCTTCTGAGGTTTGCGATCATCAAATTAAAATAATAAAAAAATCAAATCAAACGTCTCGATGTGATCGACGCACCATCATGTGACCGTGAGTGACTCCATGCTCCTCGTGATGCGAGATCCGCAGGATGGACGGCAGTGATCGTCCAGCAGCACGTGTCGGGCCATGCTCCCAAGACCCGGCCGTCCTCGTTGCAGGTTGCAGCCTCTGCTTCCGCCTCCCGCCGCTACTGCACGCACACCCACTCATCTCGCTCGCACGCATATAAAATATGCGCACCGAAATTTGAAGAAAAGGGGAAGGAAAAGCCACCGCCGCGTTCGTCCAAAGCGTCTGCCCTCCCACCGCCTTCTTTCCCGGCGCCGATGCACACAAACGAACAAACGAATGGGCCGCTTTCGAGAGCGTGATCTAAGAATACAACGACCTTTCATTGACTGGTTGTATTCTCCTCCTTAGCATTAATAATGAATCAATAATTGCTATCTAGCATGGCGGTTTCGGAGACGCATCTCTCCCGCCCTGCCATCAATGCCGCACACCGCCATGGAATGAATGCCTCGGTCAGCTGCACTCGTCCTTCCATTATTTTTAGTTCTTATGTATCCTTCCAATAAATTAAATATAATTATTAAGATTTCTTTTATATAAAATTAAAATTTGTTGGAGACGAAGCTTCGTATAATCACGAAAACAAACTGTTTGACTTTGACTCGAGTCTACTTTGACCCGTCAAAGCCAACACTGTCGTTGTCACTTGCTCTTTCACTTTTTATTTTTAAGCTTTTCATCTGGTCAAAAGTGTAGGACTAATATCTCTACAGATGCAGAATAATTCAAGAAAAGAAAAGACAAAAATAATTGAAGAGGAAATACTATATAAATATTTTAATTATATGTAAAGAAAATTTTCTTAAGAAATTTAAAGAAACAGTTAAATCATGCTAATATTCACGAAATGTGGAAGCACAAGAACGGAGGCTGCTTTGTTGGTGTTCGGTGTCATTGAGTCAGTATAATGCTTTTAATTTTTGGATATCAGTAACTTAGAAATCAATATTAACACAATACTATATTTTATATTATTATTATTATTATTATTATTATTATTATTATTATTATTATTATTATTTTGGAGAACCTTCGCTGGAGTTTCCGCCTTTTGTTTGTGGTATTTACGGTTTCGCCTCAACAACTCTCCTGTCGTCGCTCATTAGTGAGGAGATCAGGAGAAGGAATTGGGAGGGAGCGATGGGCGGCGTGGCGTCGTCGGTGGCGGCGAAGCTGGCATTCTTCCCGCCGTCGCCTCCATCGTACGAGGTGGTGACGGATCCGGGGACGGGGATGGCGAGGCTGAGCCGCTTCCCCCACCGGGAGAACGTGGAGGTGCTCCGCCTCCCCACGCGCCGGGGCACGGAGATCGTGGCTGTCTACGTCCGCAACCCCATGGCGTCGTCCACCCTCCTCTACTCTCACGGCAACGCCGCCGACCTCGGCCAGATGTACGAGCTCTTCCTCGAGCTCAGCATCCACCTCCGCGTCAACCTCCTGGGGTACGAACGAAACCACTCGTTTACTCAACTATTTCCATCAATTCGTGTTCGTTTTCGCGGTAGACACCGGATTTGTTGTGGATAAGGTTTTGGTCCGTCGATTTGCGTGCTTCAAGTCTGATTTTCATCCAAAAGGAAGAAAAAAAAGGAGCTTCTTTGACGGTCGGATTAAGCTGTATCTAATTTCTTTATGAAGCTTGATTCTATATACCTAGTTGGAAAGTTAGTGCTTTTACGGAACCATGAATCTACGGATGCATTTGGTGGCATGTCTCCGTTAAACTGTGTCAGACAGCTGTAATCTAAGATTTAGGGTTCTTTATTTAATCTTGGGTTTTATACTGGGTAATGAAAGGACCATCGAGTGCTTGCTATATCGTAATAATTTTGCACCGAGGATCAAAATGACATTTGAAGGTAGATTTGTCATTTTTATTGTCAAATTCCTCTTTCCTTTTGATCGTTGGGAGATTGATAAGCAACTGCGGATAAAAGTCACTGCTTTAGAGGAAGCAGATTTGGGTCATGGTCTGCTAGATTTAATGGGTTTAGCGAGTGTGCCTATGTGGTTTGGCTTTGGGAGTTGTAACAGGCAGGAAGTACGTTTGCAGTTATATGAATATTGTTATTGATCGATCCATCACAAGCTTTACAGTATTCTGAAGCTTTAGTTATGAAGATAAGACAATGTGCATTTTATTAACTGTAGTTGCACTTTTCCTAGTTGTTGGAAGTTTTATAATATTTTTTCTTTACTTTATCAGAATTTGGGCTAAAAGATATGTTTCTAGGCTCTTTGGTATCGTAGGTAGCTGCATGAGCCATGAAGAATATCTGTTACTTAACAATGTGTTTGTTCTTTTGTTTTTAGTATTATGGCATAATTTTTCATTCTGTTACTTAACATGAATTTTTTTTAGTGTGTATGTTCTTTTTTTTGGTAACATCACTAGTTGTCTATTTCCTTGTTGCATATTCTCTTTAGAGGTCTCTTTATCCTCCTCAAATTGGGAAAATACCTTGATGAGAAGGTTATATCCTTATATCTGTTAAACAAAATTAATATCTAGCCACAGATATTTGGTTCAGCTCGTAAGACTTATGCTTGGTGTTAGTTGCTTTGCGGTCTTAAGAGAACATCAATATTTTTCTTACCCAGTTATGACAAGCTTAAGCCAAGCAAAACAAAAGTCAACATTGTGTTCATGTTCTTGGAACTTGGAAGTACTAAACCAGACACGATAGTAAAATCCAATATCAAGATGATAGTAAGAATGCAACTGGATCTTGTTTTTTTTCATATATTGGCATGTTGCCTCCAATTAATAGGTATGAGATCATCTCCAAGAGCTGAGGTAGGGTTGGTTTTCTAACATCTTGGTGAAAAGGAAATAAAAAGACAAACAATAGAAGGTTTATTAATTGTATGATACACAATGTAACGAAGGGATCTAGAAAGAACAAAATTCATCAAGGATGATAAATTAATGAATTAGATCAAAATGATGAAGCTAATAGAGATCTTATGAACAGGGAAGATGGCAGTTGGACAGATTGTCATCATGAGGGGTCAATAAGGAGGAAAAATACAGAATGCTGTTTAAAATTGTGAAAATCATCTGATCAAGTTTGTCATATGTTGCAATTCATTAATTGGAAGAAAATGAACTAAGGCAATTACATTTGCAAGACCAAGTTGGCTTGTATGTTATAGGCTATAGATACTCATGTAATGTATGTCATAGATTATAGAGCCACATTGCTAGTTGTTAATCTGAATTATATTTGATTAATGTCTGTGCTTACCTTTAAAAAATGGGACAAGGCTTAGAGCTTGAAAGATTGTCTACGTCGTGGAGAAGAGCACTGATTTGATTTTTTAACAGAATACAATTGGTAAAAAAAAGATCATAAATTTGAAATAAGACCAAGTTGCTGGTCAGTTATGTGACTGTGAATTTGAATATAGAAACAAGTTATTTGCATAAGTTGTTAGCAGCTGTATTTTTTAGTTTTATTTTTAATTGTGTGAACAGATGCATGTTGGTTTATTCTGATTTGTACTTGGTCAGGCTTTGTAGATGGGAGTACAATTTACCGATAATTTGAATTAATAATTTTTATTCACTCATACATGACCGTTACGATTTGTGGAATGCAAGCCAACTGATGTGTCATTTCAATAAGCCACATCAGGATATTGGTCATTTTTATGAACTTTCAAGTTTGACAGGACTTAACACATTTTCACAATTGATCAAATTTGCATAGATTTTGTAATTTTATAGTTGCATGGTTCGTTTGACTGTGCTTCATCAACCTATGTATATACGGTATGTACTTTTTATGACAATGCACATTGACCAGTCTTTTCATACTCATGCAGGTATGATTACTCTGGATATGGGCAATCCACTGGAAAGGTCTGTCTCTGTTCTCTTAGATTTATTTCTTGGATTTTTTCTGCTTGCCAGCATTTTGAGATTAAGAGGACCACGTTTGGCTACACCATAAGATTATATCTCTTTCTTTATTCTTCGCAGCCAAGTGAACAAAATACTTATGCTGATATAGAAGCTGCTTATAAATGCCTCATAGAGCAATATGGTGCTAAGGAGGAAGAGATTATATTGTATGGACAATCTGTTGGAAGTGGACCAACTGTGGATTTGGCTACTCGCCTACCTCGCTTACGCGCTATTGTTCTGCATAGCCCTATACTGTCAGGTTTAAGAGTGATGTATCCAGTAAAGCGCACATATTGGTTCGACATTTACAAGGTTAACACTTTAATGGGCTTTTACAATTTTTGTTTTAATTTCTCTCTCTCTCTCTCTCTCTCTCTCTCTCTCTCTCTCTCCCTCCCTCCCTCTCTATATTTAAACTTTCCCTCACCATGTTTGTCCAGAATATTGACAAAATTCCACTGGTCAAATGCCCGGTGCTAATAATTCATGTAAGTTATCTATCTTTGTTTCTTTTTATTTTTTTTATTGTGGATGTTGTGTATGTTTTTACTACGTTCTCATTTGTTGCCATCTATTTTTGTAGAAGTAACTTCACTTTTTCAATGATTAGGAAAAGTTTATAAGAGCACTGTTATACGGCTTGTAACAATATGTGGTGAAAAATGCAATGAATTCTGTACTTATTTACCATCATAATTTTAGGTCTTCTGCTGACCTTTGGAAAGGTCATTAAATTTCCAAGTACATTCCATATTATCACCTTTGTGACCTCATCAACAGATAAATTGTTAATTAATGTATCTTTAGGAATTTTCCAAATAATGGTTGAAACAAAGTCAATTGCTACTGCAACTAGTATACATCTCAAGAGCTGAGATGTCACCAGAAAGGCTTTGTGGGTCACTTTCTGTTTTGGGCATATCCATATGTTTGCCAGGTATTGGGCATCCTTGAATGCATATATGGGTTAATTTAGAACCAATAAGAATAGCCTGCCATTATGTTGATAAATTAAAGTCATGAAAACAGTGAATGAGGCTTGGGTTAATAAAATCTTATGACTCAATGAATGAGGCTTGGGTTAATAAAATCTTATGGCTCTACTAAGCAGCAATATATCTCTTGGCAGGACAACAGAACAGTAGATATACACTTAGGCTATAGATCTGAGATAAAAACTTAGGTTTATCCACTGTCAATATACATATGCGCACAAACGACGGGCGGCAGATTAGTTGATAGCTGAAAAAAATTAGTACAGGAGATATTAAGCAAAGAGGAGGGTGAAAAAATCAGTGTAAGAGTGAGTATGGAGAAGAGTAGATCAAAAGGTAAAAAGTGGTGGCCCAGTCAGAAGATAAATTCTTTTAATGAAATTGCATACTTGTCACTGACAACATCACTGACCTCTGTACAAAAAAGATATGCTTGGCCTTCATTTCCCTCTTGGACTAGGATTTTAAGATTTAGGAATTAATCGGCAACTAAACCAGTTCCCAATTGAAGCTATCAGCTGCAGCTCTTAAATTATGTTTTTTCAGATCAGTGAGATGAGATCTGCTCCATCTGCATACCAAAAGCAGCCAGTATTTGCCTAACATCTATAACTGATCCTTGTATGACTCACTAGATTTGTGCACTTGCATTAAACATGCAGGTGGCTTCCTTAACCTTTTGTTTAGAAATTTTTTCGTTGAGCATGCCTCTTTCAATATGGTAATAATATGTAAAAATGTATTTAATATATTTTTCGAGCTAATTTTTTGTTCTTAAGAAATTTTACTTTTTCCAGAAAGAAAAAAATACAATACTTTAATATCCAATTTCAAAAATATAACATGCTCTAAGAAAACTTAAACACAGAAAGATAGCACTGTAAATAATTCAGTTTTGTGCTTGCATGCACATATCAAGTACTAAAAATGTAATTCTAATGCATACATAGCAAGAGTTGTCATGCATGCAAGCTTTTGTGTGCTTCTTAATTTTGAATTGATTTACCTGTTTATATAAGAATTTTCTTTTATTTGTTTTGTTTGTCAAAACATATTGCTTGTAGTTGTGATTCTCATATATTTTCAATCTGATCTGCAGGGAACATCGGACGAAGTTGTAGATTGTTCTCATGGTAAGAAGCTTTGGGAACTGTGTAAGGAGAAGTATGAACCGCTTTGGCTCAAAGGAGGGAAGCATTGTGATTTAGAACTTTTTCCTGAGTACATCAAACATCTCAAAAAGTTTGTATCTACAGTGGAGAAATCACCTTCCCACAGAAGCACCTGGAGAATAAGTACAGAAAGATTTGAACCTCCTAGGAAGAGCTCTGATTGTTTTGAACCATCAAGGAAGAGCATTGATCATAGGGAGAAGCATAGGCCTAGTTCAGATAAGTCAAGAAACAAGGATCAGCGACGTAGCAATATGGAAAAATTGGGAAAGTCAAAGACCTCGTTTGACCATTTGGAGAAATGTAGGAGAAGTGTGGATTGCCTGGAGAAGTCTAGGAAGAACACTGATCAGCTGGATAGAGGCCGGAAGAGTGTGGACAGGTTGGACAGGATATGGGCTGGCTAGTCATTTTACCCCATGTAAAAATTATAAATGGGCTTTGTTGTATCAAGGAATTTATTTGTGTTTTTTTTTTCTTTTCGCCAATTATGTAGTTTATTTGTGGATGTTACACAACAGTTGGTAGAGCTGGATAGAAAGTTGTTGATGTAGCGTAGTTCCTGAGTTAAAATGACATCTTTTGTCAAAAATGATTGACATGATGGTTTGTTGGGATTTATGTGATCATCCATTTAATAGTTTGTTCTCTTTGGAAGCAGCTGCACAAACAAGTGAAGATTGTGGATTTTATTGTGAGTTCTTTTCATTTATATGATATCAGGACTTCTTGACACGAGGGTTCTCCTCACTAGAAGTGATACTTTAAGTGCATGTAACAGGTTCTTAATGTTGATCACATTGCATTGCATCAAGTTATCTAGAACTTTATCAGTAACTTGATATAATATGTTTTCTCAAGCTTCGTACCGATCCGAGATTGCATACTGATCAATCTCAGATCCGAAACTAGTATTGGATCAAGAATTTAAACCTTGCTAAATTTTTTCTTAGTTGAACTTGTTTTGAGCAAGGTATATTTCTTGAGTCCTGATAACATGTATCTTACCATTTCATGTGGTTTCTTTCGTATGCTTGGATTCACAGGATACATTATTCATGTAATACACGACAAAACAAGAAAATTTTTATATGGGTACATGATAGTTTGGCATTTTACTAGGTTTATATCAAATAGAAAAGTGTTGCATGGTTATTATTGTTCTTGTTATTATTATTTCTGTTGGTAATGTTTCTGTATGTTCAAAATATTTTGAGCCTTCCAAATTTCCAAGTCAAGTGAGTTTGAAACTGTGAACTGCTTAATTGTAAGAGAGAGGAAAAAAAATGAATAATTCACATTCATAAATTCTACCATCTATTTTTCTGAATCTGCCTACTAATATATACAAACTCTGGCCTTCAATGCACTAAAGAATCGAATGATCAAATGATATAGAAGTTGACAGATCATTTCAGCAAGAATTACTACAAAGTCTGTGCCGCAAGGACTGTGAACAGGTCATAAGATAAGAAGTTCATTGACACATAAAAGGAGTATGTGATTCTCCAACAATAATTGTGCGGGGATTGATGAAGTTCCTGCTGAGTTGTGACACTCTTCTTCCTTCACATAAAATCAAGATGAGCATCACTTGCACATAGCAAGAATGAGGGAAAAGAACTTTCGATAAATTACAAGGAAAATTTACTGATGATAGCATGCAAGGGATAATATTTTCAAGTGGTTTTGATTCCACAATGAAAAATGTCTGTGGTTTCATAAAGTTCATGCAGAAGTTCGACTTAATGTGGTCGATCTGCGAGTAGATACATTTAGGGATTCAGCAGTACTGAGCAAGACCTTCCACAATGGAGAAATTTGTCGCCTGCTCACTGTATTCGACTATTGCTGACGATGGGAGCTGACCGATGCAGATCTCATGTACAGTCGTGAAAAGTGGGAATATGGCTTGCCATCCCCGGTGACTCAGAATTTCATAAACTTCTTTTGCTGTGGAGACACCCTTCAAGAGCAATATCACACAGTTAAAACCACTAATGTAGAAGATACTGATGAAGGAATGCTTTATCACATGTTTTGTGACAAGTGCGAACTTGTGATACTTATGCTATTATTCAATATGAGCTCAATTTTTAGCTTTTGCATTGAAACTATAAAATTGGAAAGTGAAGCCAGACATTTCCAACTGGCATCAGTAAGGTTGTAAGTTTGGGGTTATTTAAACAGTTAGACACTATCAACATATGCTTTGATTTCCTTCCCTGACATGTCAAATTTGCACATTTTTGTATGTAGATGATAGAATTCGGTAAAATTTAAATATCTTAGAATTTTACATTTACACATGGAGATATTGTAAAGTATCTAAGCAAATTTATCTTAATCTTCATTGTACCTGTAACTTCTGGCCTCCTAATAGCTCTGCTTCTAGCTCATCAAATGATCTGTCATCAGGTTCCACATTTCAGATAAAAAATTCATAGAAAAATAAGCCCCTCAGTTCAAATTATATGAAATCTATGTACCCAAGAAAGAATATTTAATCTAGTCAGAGAATAACCTTTTGCCACCACTTTTTGCAAAAGCCTCGGCAACTTTTCTGTTTCTCCCTCCAACTGCATAACAAAACCATAAGTGGTGATATATACTATATAGCATATTGATACAAAGGTTTGTATGAAACAGCTTCTTACGACAAGTTGTTATTAGATCGGCCACACCGCAGCTTTCAAAGAAGGTGCTGTCTCTGACAGAAGGGAATAGCAGTTTTGAAAGTGCACGCATCTCCCTTAAACCAATCCTCATTATTGCTGCCTGATATACATTAAACATGAGGTTACAAAATGTTTTATGCATAAAGTCTTATCAAGGTAAATGTATTCATGCAAACCTTTGTGTTATTTCCCATGTTCATGCCATCCACAAGACCTGTACACACATTCATTACTTGACTGATTTTCTCCAAGGTAAATAGGACTATAGGAGTATCACAAAGTCAACAAAACTAATAGTTTGAACCTGCTGCAATAGCAACCACATTCTTCAGAGTCCCACAGAGCTCTACTCCTTCCACATCCTGTACCTGCAATGATTTGGGCCTAAGCTTACTTGATGCAGATAAATTATACTTCGTCATATCAATGTTCTTTCTTGCTCCAGTGCTGTGGGTGTTTGCACTTTAAATGCATAGTAGAACTCATTGCCTGTTGGGCACAGGATGTAAAATTATGCATAATTTCAACCTTTTTCTTTTCAGCTATAACATATATGGTTTCTCTGCATCCTTGCCAATGAATTCTATATGTTCCTTTGCTTCCTGAAATCATCTCAGTGAGGAATTTTGATTGTCATCTAATATCTAGAAGTAACCTGTTTCCTCAGTTGAATACTCTTTTAGTTACATGTAATGCAATTGCGATAACCAACCTTTGCTATATTATCATATATTTCGAAATGCAGTTCAAAATAATCAGTAAATGTTAATCATTCCTCGAACCTCTAGATAATACTTATTTCTTGGCCAAATTATTTAAGGTTCAGTTTGGTTTGGGGATTTCTACCATGTGAATGGTGGAGGATATTCCCTGGTTAGAATTGTAATCCTAGTATTATCCTAAAGCTTTATTAGATACAACTCTGATATCCAGGAATATGTTTTACCTTGTTTTTTCAGATATGGTAAAAAAATACTAAAATATTAGAAAAGTAATCATATGGTTTTGGGCAATTTACTCAGATGCCCTGCATCATCCCTGCCTCTCTCCCCATGTGTAATCCAGCACAATAGTAGTAATAAATTATGATGTCCTGTTTAGACTACTTGTCGTGCGAACAATCTCATTGCTCAGATTCCGAGAGTTCTGCACTTGGCTATCCTGTTTTGGCTACTCTGTCCTTTAGGAGTGATCTAGAAAATTTTCACTCTCCTTTTCCTTTCACATCAACAATTTAGCAGTATTTAAATATTTTAAAATTGGGAAATATCTATAGTGTAAACATATAATGTATACGAACATGTGTGATGAACAAAATTGCCTTGGATAATCGGAAGCAGCAAATGAACAAATGAATGCTTACCACAGATACTAGGAAGTAAGGGGTGCAGAATAATCTAGCCCATCTTTGTGCAACCTCCTTATCTTGTTTGTAGCCAATTGTTGCTTCGCTGAACTTCTCAACAGCAATCTGTCCAAAAGACACAAGTCATATTCCTGAACAGAGAAAACAAGTTAGAATAGATAGAAAAATCAGATAACTCCTTGCCTCATTAGCGATGTTAGCACCCATGAGAACACAACAGTTGATCCCAAGCATATCAGTTATAAGTTTCGAGATCATGCATGGCCCCTCCGTTTTAACCTCCATACCCTTAATCAGAGAGATGGCCTCTGTGTTGGGTTTTATTTTCCCTACAAGCCTTTTGCATATGCCCGCAACGAACTGGTGGGGAGTTACAAAGACCAGCATGTTTGCTTCTTTCACTGAAAACCAGATAGATGACATGTCAATTGCATAAGGATGCCCCAGAAACACATTAATTTACACTACTAATTTACTTGGAGATGTCTACCTTTCTAAATGATATTTTACATGCCCAAATGCATTAGCTTTGATATGCATACACATCATCACAAGTGCTTGGCAACTCGAGCACTTTGAAGAAATTAAGAGAGCAAGAAAGGGTCAGCAATATTGAAAACGAGCCTGTACACCAGGGAGGTAAGTTTGTGGTGCACATCTTGTGTAGGTGAGAGTTTTCCGTCGCAAACATGAAGGCATAGCATTGACCTAAATACATTTGGTGATACAACAAGTTCTTTGAATATTAAAGTCACACTGATATATTTCCAGTCCTCCCTTACCCCTTCCCAAGGTTCTAAGTACTTTTCAAATCGATCCATATTGAATGTTATTTATCGGTCCAATGGTGAACAGGCACACAAACCAAACTTTTTTGGATCATCTAGTTGGGTTCAACCCTTTTTTTTATTTAATGTGAAACTTAAACCCGTCCCTGCCTCTCTATCTTCCTCATGCTGCCTCGTCGATCTCTCAATGTTGGTCCATCCTCCTCGGTACCGCAGCATGTATCCGAATAACAATCGCTGGATTTTTCCCCTTAATGGATTCCTCTATGTCATTTTCAATCCTCGTGGAGCTTAATCGTTGTTTGAGCATTACTCACAAGGTCATAAAGTTGTAAAAGATGCCTATGTTGATGTGGTTGGAATATCGATTACCTAAGAAACTTATCAATCATCTTCTTCCAAACTTCCTCTCTGAGTGGTACTCCTTCTAGTGTCTAAGCTGTCTACTTTGAGAGACTCAAAAGGCGAAGTCAGCATATGATGCTAAATAAGAATCAAAGTATCTTCTAATAATTTCTTTGAGCCTCTCAAATCTATTTTCACTTCAGTATAGTCCACAGATCGATTAGATACCTGCATTCTCAAGGTCAGGATCTGCAATCACATTCTTTCCGAGCTTTATGCCTGGAAGGTACTTTACGTTCTCCTGTTTGTGGTATAGCAGAAATCATCAGCCAAGACAGAATTCATGTAGCACAAGTGCGAGAGTCCAAATGAAAACAGTGGATCTCACATTAGTTTGATTGATCGCCTTGGACAGCTTCTCTCCACCAGGCAGTATCTCTTCGAACACCCACATCCGTACTTCATCTGCATCATCGAAACAAACAGTGATATCTCTTTAATTGGGTTCCAGAGAGATAAATTATATGCTATCCTCGTCTACAGCTTGAATTGTTCTGTAAAGGGGATTGAATCCTGAGCATCCGATGTGAGAGAGATCGGTGAGAGAAGAGAGGAAAGAAATGCTCATTCCAACACCAAGAAAAGAGATGACTTTTGAGGCAGTATTGGATGTCATGCAGGGGAGCACATAGGAAGAAAAGATTCACCGTGGAAGATGGGAAGCTTGACGGTGTTGGAGGCGATGAGTTTGGCGGCGACGCTGCCCCAGTTGCCGCTGCCGACCACCGTGACCCTGTACCGGGGAGTGATCTCCTCCCGGTTGCAGCAGGTGGTGTTCATTGGTGACTTCACCTCGGGCCGCTTTCCTTCGATGGAAGGAGCCATGTATATAGATATGTGGGGGAGGGGAAGGTGGTGGAGGAATCGGAGGAGTTGGGCGCGGAGAGACCGAAGGGAGGCGATGTGGAAAGAATGGCGGAGCCGCCTATGCTCGCTCCCTCCACTTTCCGTTCTTCCCCCTCACCTCCCCCACCACGCCCCCTCCCTTCTCTGTCAGCGCCTCCTTAGGTAGGCCAGCGAAGGTAAGAGACTTGTCACGTGCGTCGCCGAGGCCGATGGGGTGTTTTGCTTGGCTCGCGCTTAGTTGGCGGCCCCATACGCGGACATTACCTGCACGTGGGCACGTGCGAACCTTCCTTTTTTTAATGTGCATGCGTGACTTTATAATAATAATAATAATAATAATATTATTATTATTATTATTATTATTATTATTATTATTATTATTTTAATAATTTGATTGATCAAGAATAATTAACTTTTATTCTAGATAAAAATCTCCATAATAACGTATTGATTGCAAGTGAGTTAGTTCATACGATCTTTCAAGTCTAAAAATAAATCTCTCATAGTTCTTATCAAACTTGATTTAGGAAATCTTATGGCTTAGATTCACATTTGCATATATTCTCCCTCTTTTTCTTAGGACAAGTTGACTCAATCTCCTCCTATCTTTTTATCTAACAAATCCTCTCTAACCTTCTTAAGGATCTTTAAAGTTAGAAGAAGATTATCCCTTTTCAAAGGAATTAAGATTTCTCTTTTTTTTCGTTGATGATAGTCTTATTGCTATAAGAGCCATTGGAAAATCTGGTAAAACCATTATTAAAGCTTTGGAAACCTTCTCCAAGCTTACTAATCTCAAGATTAAAATCACAGAGTCTATATTATTTTTTTCTTAAAGTTGTGACCTCGTTAAGCATAGAATTTCTAACATTTTAAATATCTGAAAATGTGGATGGCCATTATTTAGTGTTATTATTACAAAAGGTATGACCATGTCGAACGCTATTGCGACCCCATTTCGGAAACATCTCTCCGAGCCCCACGAGACTGACTGTGTAGCGGTCACGGCAAATCCTGAGGCCCAAAACCATCGCCTCAGAGGTCGACGGGAGAGGTTTTCGTCGCTCGGGTCGCAAAAAGGAATGCAACATGAGGACTTCCCAGTACTACTCTGGCCCAAGCACGCTTAACTTTGGAGTTTTGATGGGATCCGGTGCTTTAGTGCTGGTATGATCGCACTCGTTTTGTGCGTCGTCCCTCGCCTTTGTGCACGTCGCGGATGACGTATCGACGATCGAACCCCTAAACCTCTCGAACGATCTCGGAATCGTTATTGTCGGAACTCTCCAATGCCCACGAGGCCGACTGCGTACTGAAAACGGCATGCACGCGCCGAAGCCATCGGGATAATCTCGAACGAACTCGGAATCGCTATTGCGCCCCATTCCGGAAACCTCTCTCCGAGCCCCCACGAGATTTTGTTATTTAAAATAAGCTAATTTTGTGCGGAGAGATAATAAATCTAAAAAAAGAGTTTTGCTTGTCGATTTATTATGATCAAGGTGAAGTATGGTGATTAACTTAAATGGTTCAATGCTTATAGAGATATAATTTGCTTGTCTTCCTCCACTTCATAAAGCAGGCCCTCCCGCACACACACAGATCTCACAAAGCCACCTTGTGCCAGTGCAGTAGCTGCCATGGAAGGACAAGCGACTCAATGTGTTCATAGAGAATATTAAGTGCAAGACATGAAGGACAAGCCTTTACAGGCCGAAAAGCTAAACAAGCTTGGGGACATGACCAAGGAATTCGAACTCGAAACATTTTTACTGGTAAGTGGAAACGAAAACAGTGCTGCTGATCACATAATGCTGTGTATGATCTCTCGTTCGGATGTCAAGCTCGATTCGGTTGCATGCAGAAGAATCATAATTTTGTTGCCGCTCCTAATGCTGAATTATCTAATAATAGTGAGGAGGCAACGATGTATTCAATTCATTAAATTTGCTTGTTTTATTGGGCCAATTTGGCATAAGTTAGATTAAGTTTCAAGGTGGCTGTTGGCATAAATTTACATAGCGCTTTCCTATCTAACTTTGAGGGGGAGGTGGAGAAACTTCATATTAAAGATTGGATTAAAATTAATTATGATGGAGCATAGAATCATGATTTAGATAGCGGTATTGGTTTTGTCATAAGAAAAAAAAAAGGATACTTCATGTGGTTTTCTTAATTATAAATATATATATATTCATATGAAAGTAATTGAACGTATGCCCGTGAGTCGATATAGAAACGAACTCCAAACTTATGATTGATGTTCTTAACAAGTGAGAGTCTTCGTCTTTGTCTTTATCTTTGTCTTTGTCTTTGTCTTTGTCTTTATCCAAAAAATTTTTATTATATTGTTCCACTGATTATATTATTATTTTTTTATTTTTTATGAGAAAAATAATGAAGTGAAAAATGGGTAACATGCAGGAAGAAGACGTTGAAAGCAGTGTTCAGGGACTGCTTGTGACCAACCCATTGCCAACAGTGGTGTGAGTGCATGACTCATGTGACTTCTTCTGTTCTTTCCTTATCCTATTAGCTCTTTTCCTCTCTACATGATGACAATGGGACCAAGTAAGGTTGCTAATAGCAATGCAATGCAATGCAGAAGATGAGTAAGGGCAGGAAGCTGCCTCTTCTTTTTCACTGGCAATCTTCCAACTTTTCTTTCTCTTTATTTTTGAAAGAAAATCTACTCATTAAAATTCATTTAATCTTTGGCAGAAGTCATCTCCTAATGTTGTCTTTGAACTTCTTTTATGTGAAACAGAAAAAATTGTGCTTTTCTTATTTTAGTTAATATTTTTATCTTCTTTGTTTCATCATATTTCTGTGACTAAATTCCATCTCTTCAATGCAAAGCATGTTGTGAAGCATCTGAAGACAATCCAAATGTGCAAATCAAATAAGAGTTCTAAAATGTTATCCTCTCTCTCTCTCTCTCTCTCTCTCTCTCTCTCTCAAAGTTCCTACCAATGATTAGGTTGAGTATGAAGCATTAAAACATCACATGCTCATTGACCAAGTGACCCAAGACCAGCAGCTGAGCAGGACAGCATGACTAGATCTTCAACCTAATACCATCCAAATAACTTGTTTTAATGATTAGACTACATGTTACATTTTTCAAATGAGTATGCTTAAATTAAATGAAATAATTATAAAAAGTTCTTTCGAGATTCAAAATATAATTTTTTTTATTTTTAATTTAATATACTATATTTTTTTCAACAGAAGATAAATGTTGAAGACCAGATTGATTCTAAATTCATGATATTAATAGTCAAGATTTTCATGAATAAACAAATTGAAATCTTCACATATGTGCGATAAATTTTGAAGTCAAAATATTTATTAAGTAAATCTTGTACGTTATTATCAATCCAATGTTTTAAAAGTAAAACTTATCGAATAAGATTTACTATCACCATACTAATATTTTAAGTATAAAAATCTATCCGATAAGATCTCGAACGTTAAATTTTTAGTAAATAAATTTGATATATTATCATCAAAATAATATTTTAGACATAAAATAAATTATAGGATGAGATGTCGAACCCTCGACTTAGGTCGAGTCAGATATACTACGATCAAATTAATATTTTGTGTATATAATTTAAGAAAGTAGGGCTTAAATCATGTCTTATGGTGAGCCTCAAATAAAATCATATTCAATAGTATAAATAATGCATTAGATTGTTGGATCAGATAATTTTTAATGTGTCATAGCTCAACTATGATAGATAATTTTAGGAACATGTGAAACAGGAGAGAGATGCCACAAGAGATTGAGATGGTCACATATGATGGTCCCAAGTTGTGAGGGGATGCTTGCTGCCCATGTCCTAGTGCTGATAGGTGCAAATAATCACAAGCTTCTGAGTCAAAACAGCTGGGACTACCTACTGCTCTCAGCCTTATCATAAGGTAAGAACACAAAGATATAAGCTCATGTGCCTATTTGTGTACCAAAGCTTTCCATCTCATAGTCACATTATTAATGGACCAAAAAGTCAGTGGATCCTACTCCTTGGAGTCTTCTACACCACAATCCCAACCTTTTATTTTTCTTACATAAACTTGTTCAAGGTTTTAAATCGGATATTGATATGATCGATGTTTCGGATCAATCGAGCTTCGACACATATATTTTACTCAGGAGGATATTTTTTTAGAATAATTTTTATTATAAATTTTTTTTTTTAGTGTGTTAAAGATTTTAGACTCTATTTTGACTCTCAGACTAATCATGCTAAACATACCTTCAGCAGTAAATAGTTTTGAAGGAACATCTATATTATCGAAGATTTATCTTGCAAAAGATAATGATTTTCCAAGAGTACCTCATTATGTGGATCAAAAGCTAATTTCAATACTAAGATCTATCGATTTCAATAATTTATAGGATCAAAATCGAGGTGAGTTCTATATCAAAATTAGGATAATTTCTTAGATTATATCTGTGGCCACAAAAATGGCCACATCGGAGTCGGTGCGATGTCAAGTCACTAGTACAAATCCAAACTACAAACAAACGAAATGAGGTGATTTGATCTATTATTTTGTTTTGGATTTTCTTTTGCTTCCATCCCAACCAAATCTCAACGTGATTCATATGCTCATTATTCTACAATTAAAAGATACATGGACCCAACGCATAGCATTAAGAATCTATCGTCGATCACAAAAAAAATTTCCAGCTAACATCATCGAGAAAATAGTAAACTATTATGTCATAATAAAAAAAAAATTCTTAAAAGGTAAATAACGAGAATCTGATTCCATCATTCGATCTTACTATCAATAATCAAGTTAGACCTCTTCCAAAAAAAAAGAAAAAGAAAAAAAACCACATTCAATTCGATGTCTTTTTCATTGGGAAGGTGGAAGGAAGCATCAGCAGCAAGCAGTGTTTGTGTTGAGATTTACAATAATTGCGAAGAGAGATCAGAGAGAGAGAGAGAGAGAGGTGGACGTCTGATAAGTAGGAAGAGACCAAATGATTCATAGACCCCACGACAGTCAAAGTTAAGACCATGGATGACAGAGATCCAACATGGTTGTGGGACTCCTTAAGTATTAGAAATTAAGAAAAAAACAAAATTATTCACATATAAATAATATATTCAAACTTAGTGATTTTTT